AATTCTTCTGCAACTTCTTGTGCTTTAATATGTGCATCAGTAAATCCAGTCTTACGATACTCATAAAGAAATGTATTTGTTGCTTTTATTTCACTAGCCAATATGTCAAGAGAGGTTGTAGAAGACTGAAGAAGCTTACTTGATTTGTTGATTTGAAATAAAACGTCATACCAAATAATGATTGATAATAAGAAAGGCCATGTCCTAATATATTCAATCAGAGATCGTACTTCTGTGGCTGTTGCCCCATCTTTCTTTTCAAAGGCATGTTTTTCCAATCTGTCGAGTGCCTCTAAAATTTCTTTCAGATAATAGCGAAGTGGTTTAACACAGTTTATTTTACTTTCCCATCTTGTATCTGATTGTGGTTTGACAGAAATTTCCACAAACGATTTTAAAATTTCCCATCGAGGAGGAGACGATGAAAAGAGGGTATACAATCTTGTAAGAACTCCAAAAAAAGATATTGCACTGATAGATGACAGTGCACCATCAACAATAACAAGATTCAGTGAATGATTTGCACATGGAACATATATAGCCTTTGGGTTCATTTCTAGAAGCCTGGCTTGAACACCTTTAAGTTTTCCTTTCGTGTTAGCACCATTATCATAAGATTGGCCTCGACAATCAAGAATATTTAGATCCCATTTTTTTGCCTGATTTAAAAAGGCTTCCAAAAGCCCTTTTCCAGTGGTATCATTTACTGTGAGATATCCAAAGAAATTTTCGGAAATGTTAATACCTACTCTAGAAGTACATGTCACTGATCTTAAAATTATGCTCATTTGTTCTTTGTGCGAAACGTCTGGCGTGCAATCTAAAATAACCGAATAGTATTTTGCTTTTTTTACCATAGAAAGGTTTTCTGATTCAATCTCCTTCGCTAAACATCTAATCAACCCGTTCTGTGTGTCATTGCTCAAATAGTGAGCGTTTGTTTTTTTGTCTTGAATTCTTAACAGAAGCTCCTTGAGGACGGCATCGTACTTAGCCAGTAATTCAAACACCCCAAGAAAATTTCCATTGCTCTTTGAACCAATTGCCGTGTCTGAACCACGGAATGCAAGATTTTTTGCTGAAAGAAATAACGTAATGTCCAGTATCCTTTCCAACACAGATCTCCAAAATACCCGCTCTTTATGAAGCAACTTTTGTTGTTGCTCGTCTATGGTAGCTTGATTTGCTATGCCTGCATTGTCAAAATTGAAAAAAAATTAATATTTTAGCAATAAAAAAAGTAACAAAACAAGTTAAATGAAATATCAGTTACCTTTTCGTAATGTCATCCAATGTTCAAAGCATTTTAAATGTGCACTGCATGTTTCGTGTTCTTTAAGTTTTTTTGAAAAGCCTTCCCACGTGTTTATTCCTTTTCGAAATGGTGAAGAAGTTATCCCAAAAAGTTTGCAACAGAAACAAAACACTTTATCACTATTTAAAGAATATACAAGCCATGATCTTTCAAAAATTTCTCCATTTTTCATTTTGCGGTTATAATAACTCATGGAAAATCGTCTTCTTTCTGAATTTTTTAGAAAGTCGATTTCAATCTTTTTTAACCCTCGTTTAACAACATCACACTTCTGAGCGTCAGAAACATTATCAGGCCAATCAGAAGGATCATCACTGAGAAATATTAGTGGATTTGTTGTGGCATTTGATTCACAGTTTAAACCATGACTTACATTTGACTTTGCATTTGAGCCATAGATTAACCCATCTGACTCTAGTCTAGTACCCAAATAATCACAATCAAAATTATTTGTTGATATCAAAACACTGCTAGCCGGAACTGCTGGTTTTAAAAAATGTGTTAGCTTGGGGTATTTCATGATTTTCTCCATGGCTGCAGCTTTTTCTCTTCTTTTAGTGGCACCACTTTTCACTTTTTTCATTCCAATAATTCCAAAATATTGTAAAAAACTAAGAATGAAAGATAATTATATTTTTTGCTAGGCATAAAACATAAGTAATAGAAATAATAGTAATAAAATAAACTTTACCGTGGTGAATTGTTAAACAGTTGAATTACCAGGAAATTATAGTTAATCAATCAATAACCTAATTAAAAATAATAAATTCGCTTGTAATCATAAAATAAGCGACATACTTTGAAATATATTTCCCCACGAAACGCTGTTTAATGGTTTCTCATTAGCGCGCTAGTAACATCAAAAAAACCGCTAAATAACATCAGACAAACCGCTAAAATAACATCACACAAACCGCTATAGTGGTTTCTCAAAAAACTTCTAACAAAACAAAAGAACTCGGGAGTGTAAATTGTTTTTGCGTAAAAATGACTTTTGCTTTTTTTACTTTTTAGCATGCATAACTTAGATAATATAATGGTTAAAATGCAAATCTTTTTACTTCACTTAAACTCTTTTAAAGTTAAAAGATATTTTAACTTTTAAAAAGGGCCCCTAAAAATACTAAGCCCCCCCCCCCAATTGGGGGGTTTGGGGGTGCCTAGCCACGGCTCTGTATAAGAGATCATATCTGGACGTATAAGAGATCATATCTCTTATACGTCCATGGTGATAGCAATATTTAGCGGTTTCTGATTAGCTAATAGTTGTTGTAGGCTAAATATAATAACATCAAATAAATAGCATAACGATAAAATAACAATGTTTGTATATGTTTATTCTAACTTCATAATTTTTATCATTAGTTCTAGTTCTGCTAGAACTAATTAGAAAACGTTAAAAATAGCTTTAAATTAGGAAAAAAATACCATACTTTGCTAAAATCACAACGAAATAATTAAAATATTATGTTTCAAAAAAAAAAAAAAAAAAAAAATTAAACTTAAATCGTTATAATAACCTTTAATGTTAACTTATATCGTTATAATAAATACAATAAATTAATATAATAAACACAATAAAATTTAAGGTGCGTTTAGTCCAAGTGCAATAAAGCAAAAAAAAATTCCTATTAAGAAGTACTTTTAAGAAAACTACTTTGTTGACAAAATTCTGCCTGAAATGTTTTTTCTACGTGCAGAAAAAATATAAATATAGAGAATGTAGATTCAAATAGCTTTTTTTCAAAAATATAAATATAAAGAATGTAGATTCAAATAGCTTTTTTTTACCAATAAGTCAATAAAATCAACAACTAAGTTTTTATTATTATTTTGAAAACAAAAACCTATTGTTTTTGTTTGATGCTGAGTAATGTTGATTCAGACTAAACAATCAAAACTTTGATGCTGAACAATGCTGATTATATATATATATATATAAATATATATATATATATATATATATATATATATATATATATATATATATATATATATATATATATATATATATATATATTTACACACACATATATATACATATATATATATATATATATATATATATATATATATATATATATATATATATATATATATATATATATATATATATATATACATATGTATGTAGCTTTACTGTAACTAGAGATTTTAGTCCCAATAAAAAACATTTATAATAGTAATATATTATAATATAGTATTATATTTTGATTAATGTTAAAAGTTGATAATATAAGATAAAGGATCTTTTACATCAAAGAATGTAGAATGTAGGGTAATCAAAAAGTTTCCTTTCAATAACTTTAAAGCCAAATCTATATCCATATTTAAGTGAAAAGAAAAGAGCAAAATATTCTGAAAAGTATAAATGTAAAGCTTCAAAGAGTTTGTTTGAGAACACTAAATAGGTTTTTTTTTTTGTAAATAATTATTAGTCTGAAGTATATCTTACCAGAGTGTCTTATAAAGGTAGAATGAAATGCATATTTATCTAGATAAGCAAAATGATTTTAAAGGTAAATATGAATTTTAAGGGTATATTTATCAAACATTTTTTAAAGCTCAAACCAAAACTTTGCAAAACTTCTCTAAAACTTTGTATAAATATTTTAATATATTATAGTAGTTTAGTTTCAATGCTTCAAACAGGTTGCTACAGTCTTTCAAAGCTTTCATATATTTACCTTAAAAATTCTTTTCAAATAATTTTAAAGGTAAAATTATGAAAAAGAGTTGTTAGCAATATATAACCTGTTTCAAACACTGGTGCGTATCCTGCTTTTTTAAAGACTCTTCTGAACTTAGGACTGATTCTAGGGATCCAGGATAGTCACAAAATATTTTGGAGATGTTAAGAAATGTTTTATTTTCTTTCATAGATTTACCTAGTTTTTCCAGATTTTTCCTCTCATAGCCATTTTCTAATAATACATCGATAAGAAAAAACAACTCATCAATAATATTTATTGTACACAAATGTAGTGTTCTATGGACACCAATAAAGACACCATTAATAATTTTAGGGTCGGTTTAATTTGAATGCTTATAATTTCATTTTTGCGATGTATTTAAAAACTATATGTACCTGTTTTTTGTCTGACTGAACCATTAACATAGTTTAATGTATTGGTAATTATTATTATAATGTAATATAAGTCGGCAGATTTCGTTGTGTATCGAATACTTTTATATTGTTTATTAAGTAAATCTAAAGACTTCAGCATATCTTCTTCCACCCAGAACCTTGAATGTATCATAAACATATCTTTTAAATGATTTGAGAGAGCATTACTTTCGTTACACTGTAAAAAACACTTGACAACCATTACCATAACTAAACTAATTGATCTCTTTAAAAGTTAATTCATATATAAAGTTCTGGTTGTTTTTTAATATTTTAACTAATATAGTTATTATTTATTTAATTGGAACCAAAGGCTTCAAATTAACAACATCAAAGAAGACTTGAATTTCATTCTAATCAATTTCCCTTAATCTTGCTGTATCCGCAAACTGCTGAGATCTTTTTTGTTTATTGTTAAAGTTACTTTTAACTAGCTTGGCCTTTTTTAAAATTGTTAAAACATCTTGTCTTAATTTAACTCCCTTTGTCTGTTACTTACCTTATTGCAACTTTAAGGCTATTTTATTTAATTTAAAATTTTTTATTTTGTATTTATAGGTTGTACCAGAATTGCGAGAATGGTGTGAGCAGAGACAGGTTCATCTAATTGAGTGTGACTTACGTTGGGGTGTTCCAAAAAATACAGATTCAAAAGACACTATTTCAACATGTTTAGATGAAGTATCGCGATGTATAAAAGAAACAAATGGTCAACCTTTCTTTTTGAATATGTTAAGTGAAAGGTAAACAATAATGTATTAGCAGTATTTTATTATAGAATCTTTTTTTTTTGTGTGAAGAAGCTGTATGGATTGTGGTCTATATGTATATCTATATGCACTTTTTATACATACAAATATATATAAAAAAATATGTATATAATATAAAATCGTCCAGCAGGTTATTTTCCATTCTTAAAACTGAAATACATTGTTAATGAGTGTAATTATATACACGCATCATAATGTTCTTGACAGTGATTTTTAGCATAATTATGTGTAGGTCATCATGTCCTTGACGATCTTTACAATTTTTTATTTGTTATGCAGTGTTCCTTTATTAATAAATGCTGAAAAATATCTAGCAGTACAAACACTACCACTCTCTATTTGATGAAATTTTTGACTTTTAAACTTCTTATTAATTGTTTAATCATATGATCATATCTTTATTAGTACTTTAGTTTATTTACTTTGTTTTAAAGCATAAGTCTCTCTGAACATTTTTACACTGTTTACTTAATTAAATATCAGGTAACTGTTCCAGTATTTCTTTATTAAATTTTTTTGTTCTTTTTATGATAGTTTTCAATAAGTTCATATTTAATATCACGTTTTTCATTTAAAAAAAATTAATATTATTATTAATCTTACATTTGTATAAAATCATTTAATGACTTTTTAAAGGATAAATGAGTATTTAATCAAACTGATAGCCACAATGATATCAGTGCTAAGTAGCCTTTTGCATCCATATTGTTTTTGAGAATGAAATAGACTTTTCTATCTATATATTTATTGCTACTAATAAATTTTGAGAAATTTTGCGCATCTATCACCTAATGTGAATGTAAGTGCCATTTATACATTAGGTTTAAATGTATTGCAAAAATTTGTTACAATATCAAGTGGTGCACAGGATTCAATTTCAAAATTAGGTTGTTTCTATGTTGAAACAACCTTTAATTTTGTATTCTAAAATAATAAGATTTTTAACTTGCTGTTAAACATTCAAAGCACTCTTCATGCATATTTGAAGAACATTTGCAGCAGGAAGTTGCCATGTAATTCCTAAAAAGACTGGAAATAACAGGCATTGAATTTGTTATATTTGTGGTTGAATTTGAGAGGTATGATCAACGTTGATATCTTCTAGATTTAAAACAGAAAAGCAATATGTTTTTAGTTTTTATTTTGCTAGAGCAAGAAAATAAACAGTTAAAATAAATATTTGCTACTATTTGCAACTTTCCAATGAGCAAAAGTGATAGTAAAATTAACATCCTCACATTTCTACAAGTAATGTGCTTAGTAATTTCTACAGCATAGTTCTACAGCCACTCTCAGTGGCTGTTGAACTTCAACTCAGATAAAATTCAAGTTTTTTCAGCTAATAATTGCAACAATCTAGATCTTCCTATATTTATGAACAGTGATATACTTGACGAGTCATCTACCCTTCATCTTCTAGGATTAACCCTTCTGATCTTTCTTAAAAACCATATATCAAATCCATTGCAAAACTAACATCTGCTAAGATTGCATCTCTTTATCGCTCTTCCCACTTTCTTACTCTGGATTCTATTCTTTACCAAAACAGTTACCATATCTGAAACAGATCTTTGAATGATATTCTTTCTCTTTTAGACAAGGTATGAAAACGCATTGTAAATATAGTTAGACCTGCTCTTACAGCCAAACTTAAACCATTGTCACATTGTCGTAATGTTGCTTCTCTTTCTCTTTACTATAAATACTAGAATAAGCACTGCTCAAAAAAAAAAGACCTAGTGTCTCTTGTGTCACCTACTAAAATTTATTCTCATGTTACTCGCCATTCAATTAGGCCTCATCCTTTTACTGTGACTGTTTCTAAGTGCTCCGAAAATTCTTTTATGTCTAGTCTCTTTCCTCAAACATCAGTTCTTTGGAATTTGCCCCCTTCATCTTTTTTTCCTGATTCATATCATTTACAATCTTTTAAGTCATTTGTTATTCATTATCTTGCTTTATAAACTTTATCTTTTTACCTCCAGTAGTTTCTAACTCCAATAGTGGTTGCTAGCAGTCTTGTTAGATGTGATGATATTTGAAAAAAAAAGGATTAGGGTTAAAAATAAAATTCTTATTCATTTTTATTTATGATGGTAAAATTATTGAGATTCAAAAAATACTTTGCAAAAATGATGAATAATTTTTTTATTAATCATTTTTATTTACAATTGCAAAATTATTGTGATTCAAAAAACATTTTGCTTGTTAATTAATTTTTTTTTTGTTTTGACTTTAGCCAAAGTGTATCTTAGCTTCTTATAAATGCTCTTTAATTGGTTTGTAACCATATTTAAATAACCTCAAAAGAAGTGTAAAAGTAAGCTCTTAGTATGTACTAACAAAGTTAAATTTCTTTTTCAATAAAGAATTTGAATGTTGAAAAAATTAAATAACAGAAAAAAGAAACTTAGAAAAAAGTGTAAAAGGTAGTTTAGTCCATTTTTCAAGAAAAATAGGCTTAGCTCCCTTTTACACTCTCTAATATTTAAATGATAACTTGCTGTTGTTCAGCTGTTTTAAAATCAGTGATTTGTTTTTAATTTGATGGAGCTAACTAAGTGCACATAATTTAAAAAATATTGATGATCTAAAAAAAATATTAGCTGGTTGCCCAAAATCATCTTTTATTGCCACCTATAATAAAAACTAATTTAGAACTAATATTAACATCTAACCATCAACAAATTGACACCTCTAATTGACAAGTCTTATATATCAAAATTTTTTATTGAAAATCTAATATTAAAATATTTTCAAAAAGACAATTGGTACTGGTGCAATTATTTTCAGCATTATAATCCTTTTTATTTTTTACATAGGTCTAATTTTTGATAACATTTATCTGTGTTATTTTCAAATTTATCTGTGTTATTTCAGGGTTCATCTGGATATAACAGTTTATTATTATTATTATTGTGGTGTATTATTGTTATTAAAGTTTTTATGTGGATATATTTTAGTGTTTTATTCTGTCAGTTCTATAAATAAATAATAATAAAAGCAAAGAAAAACTAACAGATGTTCAGAATAAACACAGATTTATTTTAAGTAGAAAAAGATTATACATAGATCACAGTCAACAGTAATTTTATTGTCAAAGTATACCTAAAACAAGCAGAACACTTTCTTTCTTTTTATTAAAAAATGACTTATAATTAGTTGCACCTTTCACATAGGCCAGTAGGCAGATTAGAGAGGCACTAGTTTCTAATAACACATTCAACTGTTGATAATTACAAATAGAGTTATTTAAAAATGTAGGCATTTTTGGTGTGAATTCGACAAATTTGTAATGTTTGCATTTTCAGATAATTTAATCTAATGGTCTTATATGCTGTTAATCTTAGATCAAAACAAAGTATTAGAAAAATTTACAAGCATCTCAAAATGGCTGAAAGTTGGACTTTTTAGACAGATGGACATTTTGCATTTAGACATATTTGAGTTCTGAATTGCAACTATCTGCCTATATTTTGCCCATTTATTGCAGACAGTAATAGTTAATCAGAAAATTTATCTGTAAAGACTCATGGATAAATAGAAAAATGAAATTTTAGGATTTTTTCCAAAGTTGAGGAGGTCATAATTTCTCTCTAATTTAATATAAGTTAATAAAAACCACTTTTTTAAAGAGAGAACTATTCAGAAAATAGTTTTAGAAAAAATGAGATGTTGAAAGAATTGTTGTACTTTGAAGTCTGAAATTTCAAAATTAACTTATCTACATAATGCACATAATATGTAAAAATCAGGAAAATCAGAATTTAAAAACTGAATTTAAAATTGAATTTCGAGTCCAGTAGCATAAAAAAGATCTTGAGCAGAAATAAGTAATCAATGTGCTGTGTCATTTTGTAGGCATGTCAATCTTTCTACATATATATATATATATATATATATATATATATATATATATATATATATATATATATATATATATATATATATATATATATATATATATATATATATATATATATATATATATATATATGTGTATATATATATATATATATATATATATATATATATATATATATATATATATATATATATATATATATATATATATATATATATATATATATATATATGTATATATATATATATATATATATATATATATATATATATATATATATATATATATATATATATATATATATATATATATATATGTAGAAAGATTGACATGCCTACAAAATATATATATATATCAGTCTGCGAAATCCATGTCGGCATTTAGCAATGGCAAAGCAAAAGCCTGTTTTACTTTGGCAACAACCAAAATATCTAAAAGTGTCAGCATGCAAAAAGAAATATATATACAAAATATTTGTTTAGTATAATTTCAAAATTTATTGCAAGTATTTGTTTTTTCAAGTTAGACAATTTTTATTAAAATCACTTTTTCATTTTCTCCTAAATTAGATCATAACAAGCTTAGCAAGACGACATAATATTAGAAGAATGAAAGTCTTCTAACAAATATCCCTTGAAAACAAAATTTTAATTTCTTTTATTGTTAAAAAAAGTATTAATAATAATAAACAAAATGAACCTCATGGTATTTTCCATTAAATCACTGGTTAACCCAGTTTATGGAACTGCAAATACATTTAAATCAAATACCAATATTTTAGAAAATTTTTAATCAAATACAATACAAATACAAAAACACCAAATTAGCCTATTTTTACAGTTATGTATTTGACCCCAACCCAGTCTAGCATCTGTTGTGCTCACACTTTTTATAAGAAAATTTAGCGCGATTATAATGTTAATAAATTTGAAAATCTAATATTAATAATAATATTTATTTTGTTAGGAAAAACCATTCATTTACATGTTTAAGATTGTTTAGTATTATTTAAGATCTGAAAGTTTAACAGAAGAAGAAGAAACATATTGTTTAAAAAGTATATTATTAAAGAAACATTAAACTTTTTATTTAAACAAATTTTTATACTGAGGCAATCAAAAATAAGAAAGCTATGGTGTTACTCAAAGAAAACTCTAAACAGGTTGCTAATATACCATGCAGAAAAGTTATTGAAAAGTAGTGGTTCAAATCTTGTAGTTTTCAAACAAATGATTAATGCTAATTTTTTTTAATACTTTGCCGTTAAAAAACTAAAAAAATTGTAAACGTTTTGAAACAAATCATTATATTATAAAATAAGGTTATATTTTAAAATAAGGTTTAATTGCTTCATTCTTTAAAATATTATTGTCTAAAGCTACACTCATAAAAAATATGCTTTTATAACCAATTAATCATTAACCCTTTCTAAGTACGACACTCTTGTGCCAACCTGAAATCTTTTGGAGCTGCTGATGGCTTCAGTGAATACATCAACTAAATAATAGGTAAAACATGTGCATATATACAATATATGTATGTATAAAAAAAAAAGTTTAAATCCATTAATAATTTTTTTATGATATTGTTTTTTTTTTTTTTTTACAGTAAGGTAGACATGCTTACGAAAAAGTGCAGAACATTGATCTCCTTATTTCTGGTTAGGATCATTTAACTCCGGTTTCACTCTAAACCCAATTTTATATCCAGTTTGTGTTAATATATAACAATCTTGCAATATTGCTAAATTATTATTTTATTTTGACATAAAATTTATAACGTAAATAACTGTTTTTCTTATAAAAAAATAATTATAAGTATAATAGTTTATTTAATAATAACACATAAGCATTAATTATTTATAACAAATTATTTTTAGGTATGGTTGGATCCCTAAAAAAGAAGATCTTTCTGATGAGTTCATATCAGCATATAACTGGATATTCCCATTGTCAATCACACACATGGAAATACTGTGTGCAGCATTAAAAACAAATTCCCCCAATTCTTTATTTATGATACGAGATGAAGAATCATTAGCTAACATTCCTGATTCATTTTTATCTTCATTTATAGATACACAAGAGCTATCTAAGTTAAGCCTTCAGGTATTTTTTTTTTCTACTTCAAAATTAAAGAATTAAATTGACATTTTTTTTTTTTTTTTTTTTCATATTTTATATTAACAAATTGCTCATAACTATGATAAATGTATGTGTGTATACACACATACACAAACAAACAAAAAATTTAATAAGAAGAAAAGGGACATAATCCACTGTTCTTTAGCATGGTGAGCCTCCCACCAGAATTTGTACAACTCTGTATACTACAGATAATACTGATAACAATTCAATGGTTGATGTGCAAAATGAATTTTTGTGTAAATAAATCGGATGTTTTTAGTTTTGACAACAATGTTTAAATTATGTGACTTTTTGATGCTAAAGCCATAATTATGAAACTACTTCCAGATAAGCATATTGTAAAAAGAAGTGTGAATGATAAATTCAAAAAAACTGTAGAGGATATGCTAAAGGTATAACTAGACCCAACGAATGAGTGCAATGAGCAATGAAGAATCTTCCAGCACTAAAATCCAAAATGAACCTTGAAATTCTATTAGCCTTGATATCATTGATAATACTAAAAGACCTTCTTCTACTAACAATAAACTTGTTAAATTTATTTATAGAAAAGAGAAAAAGAAGCAACATTACAATGATGTGACAATGATTAAAGGTTGGCTGCAAGTGTAGGTCCAACAATGTTTACAATGCGTTTTTGCACTTTGTCTAAAAGAGAAAGGGCATCATTCAAAGATCCGCTCTGGATAAGGCAACAGTATTCCATACAAAGACGAATTTGAGATTTATAGAGATTAAGAATAGAATCCAGAGTAAAAAAGTGTCGAGCACAACAAAGAGATGCAACCTTAGCAGATGCTAATTTTGCAATGGATTTGATATATGGTTCCCAAGAAAGATCAGAATTAAGAGTTAATCCTAGAAGACAAAGGGTAGATGACTTTTTAAGAACATTACCATTCAATAAATATTGTTGCGATAATGATTAGTGAAAAAAACTGAGTTTTGTCACCAACCACTGAGAGAGTCCCATGCTGTAGCAGAAGTGAGATTTTTTTAAGCTCAAATGCTCCCTCCAAGCAATCAGTGAGTGTTGATTTTTTACGAAGACAAGAATAAATCTGACTCTAATAATAAACTTAAACCAATCTCTTAAGCTGTCTAAGCAAAATTGTGATATATTTGTTTCAAGATCTTTCTACAACAAAAAATGAGGTAAATAGTTGCACTTATGATATTTTAAAAATTAAAAATGATGACTCTGTAAAGTGTGAAAAATTAAAATTCAAGTTTTGTGGTTATTCCTTGTATTAAATATCTGTATCTGTGGATTATTCCTAGTTAATAAAAAGATATGCTTGTTTACTGTCTACTGAAGCTTGACCTAAGGGTCTACTTGTACTAAGATATTTAATATTTTAAAATGGCCAATAGCAATAGTTTATCTTTTTGTTCATTCAACTGTTGTTCTTTTAAAAGTAGTGAATTTTGTCATATGTACAATTTTGTTTTATTACAAGAGCATTGGATATTACCCAATAAACTTGAATTATTAAACCATGTACATCCTGACTTTTATAAAACAAGTATATCAGCAGTAAACATATCATTTGATATATTAATTGGTTTTGGACCTTTTGGAGGGACTACTATTCTTTATTAAAAAAATCTGTCAAGTAATATTACAATCATTAAATTTTTAGAATCTAGAACCACTAAAGATTTAATGATTATATTAAATCTGCCAGTATTGGGCCAATTTTGCTAATAAATGTGTACATACCAACAAATTATAATGAACATTGCCTTCATAATTATTTGGATATATGTTTAAAAATAACATTACTTATAGTGGAAATTGATGCTTGGAACAAGGTTATTGCTGGAAGTTTTAATTGTTACAATGGGTCAAGATTCTATGAAGAATTTTTTAACCTAAAACAAACTGATTAAATTTGATATCAATTGCCTTAATAATGTCTATACTTATGTTAGCAATGACGGATCTACTTCTTTGTGGTTGGATCACATTCTATGCAGTCTAATTGTTGATAATCTGATTATGTCTATGTCAGTTTTAAATAATCTTATTGCATCAGACCATAAACAATTAGTGTTTCTGATTTCTTGCTCATTAGCAAACTAATCTAAAATAAATAACAGTAAACCTTACTTTAAAATGTCAACTAGAACTCCTAAATGGCAAATTTGCAACAAAGCTATATTTGCACACTATGAAGAAAAAGTAGACTTTTTTTTTTTTTTTTTTTTTGAAATCCGTATATGTATCACTTTATCTACTTACTGAAAATATACAAAATGGCTGCAATACAACTTACAATATTGGCTTACTCTATAACAACATCATTAATACTATTTGCTGTATCTGATTCCACACCTAATTGTAATTTTAAAAATAAAAATCATTGTTAAAGACAAATACAACATTGCATTCAAGATTGGATTTTGATGGGATGCATTCAAGCAGTAGATTTTTCAAGTAAAGAAGTAACTGGGCGACATTTTTGAAAACATGAAGCAACTATGGACCTGGTACTTAAATTGTGTCTGTAGTCTGAAATATACTTATAATAATAATAAAATAAAATAATAATTATAATACTAATAATATATATATTTGGGTGATCCTGTCGCCTTTATGTGCTCTGGTTAAGTTTGACTTTTTTTAGGGGATGAGGTTTATAATAAATTATTAAAATTTGAAATTTTAAGAAAATTGGACAACATTTAGTGGTTTAGGAGGTTTCAATTAAAGTTTCAAGGGTTATATTGGAACCTAGTAGTTTAACTACTAGGTTCTAGGTACTAGTTTTTTGTGTGTTCTTTACTAATGTTAAATAAACTAATTTCTAATTAATTTAACTTTTTATTAATAATAATAATTTAATAATTTTTTAAATTTCTAATTAATATCTTTTTAGGGGGATTGTAAGTGAGGGGTTTTCCCCTATCCTCAGCAAAAAAAACTTCCAAGTTAATAAAACCAAGGTAATTATTCAATAAAACAACAAAATACTATTTATTTCAACCTTTCACGGCTAGAAAAATGGAATTTGTGAACAAAATATTTTTTTTGAGCTACAAAAATCTACAAAATTTGTCTATAATCAGAATAAACTAGAATTGGAGTATTATATTAATGTTCTTCTTCACTTCTATTATTCTTACAGAAAATCTGATAAGACTTTTCCAAAATTGGCTTCTTTCTTTTTAAATATTTGCTGATGTTTGTGGCCTTTTATAAAGGTACACTAATAACTTATTTCAAACTTTTTTTTAGATAGTATATAAAAATTCAAATATTGACAAGTTAGGTGGTAAAAAAGGCACAATCAAAAGTCCAAGATATTTCATAGTAGAAATATCATGGACTCTCTATTAAATTAAAAGAATCTGAATCTGGCTGAACAAAACTGAAGAAAAAGAATCTGGTTGATAACTTCTGTCAGATGGTTTTATGTTTTTTTTGCACACTCCCACACAAAAACTAAAAGTTGCAAATGAAACAGTTCCATCAATTCTACTACTATATATATGAGGAAGAATACAAACAGTTAAACCAAATGAAGTGGCAGAGGAAATCATGATATTAATTAATTAGTTAAAAAGTCTGCTAAAAATTGATTGTATTCATAGAAACTTTGACAAGAATACCCCAAAAGTTATTTGTTTTAAAGACAAGTTTACAAAGCAATAAGGTTCTGGCTACATAAAGTAATTGATACAGAGGATAAACAGTTTCTGATCAGCATGGTAACTGATAGGAAGATATCTCTGAGCTCAGTAGATCTTAAACTTAGTTGTGTGAAAAAAAATTGACAGAAAAGTTGCTGAACAAGAAAGAATTGATAAAGAAAAAGAATAGTAAGCTATCAGAAAAGCAGCATTCTCACAAAACGGCACTGGCACACTGGCACTAAACTGCGTTCTCACAAAACTGGCACACTGGCACAAACTTGAAAACCGGTACAACTGTGTTTTTACCACATGATATTCTGAAATCATTCAAAGTTGTGGAAATGTTTTAATAATAAATTGTCTTTAAATGGAAAACTAAGGTGAGTTTAACTATGATTTAAATCAAAAAATTTTAAAAAATTATTCAAATCATTAGGTTACAAAGTTTTGAAAAGTTGTTTAGTAAAAAGTTTTATTATTATTTAGTATTTAGGATTAAACTAACATCAGTTAGTTTAATTTCATAAAAAATTCTTAAGGTCATGCCAAAACAAGAACAAAAATAGTGCATAGCATTACTGGGTGTTAAGGGTATTGAGTGCATGTGTCATCATGGCGGCAAACAGTTAAGGTGTAATTGAAGTAGTTTTTCTCAGCTTTCAATGATGAAAATACTTAACAACTAAAGCAGTTAGCCAGCTTGGTTGACAAGCGGGTGCGATTGCACTCTATTCCTGACCACATTATCTCAAAACATTTAAAAAAACCCTGGCCAAGTGTGGTCAGATATAGAAAGTGATTGTACTTGCTTCCCAATCAAGCCTTAATTAGCCATAAAAAAGTATAATAAAGAGTGAGTATCCGATAGATTATTTATCTAGGGACATCACAAACATCACAAAAAATGCTGCACTGTGTCTTCCTCATAAAATAAGGCTTTTATTTGACTTATATAAAAAAGTCTAATAAACCTTTTTTTTTCTTGATTACTTAAGTGTTCCTAAAAGCCTTCTTGTCACAAAACACTACAGAGGAATACTTATCTAGGAATTTCACACCACTTGTCAATAATGTTGGGAATATGGTTAAAGCAGGAATCAAGAAAATCAAGAGGTCTGAGACTCAGACCTCTTGATTTTAAGGCTCTAATCATTAAAAGCACTGTATGTTTTTATCAGCATATATGCTTAATAATAAGATCAGAAAATTTGCTCAAGTTAAAAGTTCTGAATGGCATTAGTTTAGAAAATGTTGGTCAGGTCTAAGTACAACAAGTCTGGATATTATAAGATCATACCCAACCTGTTTGGTTAATGGGTCTGGGTCTGGTGGGTTTTGGGTTCATAATAATAAGACTCAGATCCAGTTCAAACAGGTTGGGTCATGTCTGGATACATCCTTTATAAAAACACTTTTAATATGGGATATGCGTTTAAATTTTTTATTTGGTGCATGTGATTTTCTATCAACCAATTCAGTAATAACTGGTTTCCCATTCACAGTGACCACTGATACACACTATTATAAAGACTTTATCTATTGAAAAAGCTAAAGGGATATGAAGACAAAATTTTAACAACATTTTAATGGATGACAAGACATAAAATGTGATTTTAATCAACCTCTTGGTAAAAAATATTATATTTCAATTTTTCTTGGTGGTGTAAGCAACAAGTGGGAATATAAACTTGTGGACAAAGATGCCAAAAAAATTACTTATTTAGCAAGTAATTTGTAGTTACGGGAAAAAAGAGTAGAGCTATTGTGTTGTCATCAACTTTGACATCAAAAATTTATATTCATGAGAGTCTTCAAAAGCAACTTTTGTCACTCATTTGATTACATGATAGACCTTGTTTGTTTTAACCTGACTTAGCTTCCTCCTACTACAAATTGAGAAAAGTTGTTTGTATCAAAAAAGCTTAATCCACCAAATTGCCCACAATTCTAGCCCATTGAACAGTATTGAGGTATTGTTAGTAAAACAGGCAATAATTCTGCAGAAGTTTATGGGCACCATAATCAATAATGTATGATTATTTTTTTTAAAAAAAAAGAAAAATTTTGAATCTAAAAGTATTTTTATACTTTTTAATTTCTTGACTTCAAATAAAGATTTATAAAAAACATTTATTTCAAATATTTTTTTCTTATTTTTTTTTTTAATCTCTTTTAGTTATCTTTAAGTTAAACATTGTGCTTATTTTGTTTGTAAGAGAATTGTTTTCTACAAAAGCAGTTGACAATAAGCCAGTGCTTGTATGTGAATTAGCTTGTGAAACCAACAAAAGACATTAAAACCTTAAGCAATATTTTTACATTTTTCTGCTAGGCATTTAGTTCGGCCTTGTTTTGTTATTGTTTTTTGTTGTCAACTCCACGTTCTAATTACTCTAGTGACTTCATTTCAACTGTTTTCTTCATTCATTTCAACTGTTTTCTTTACAGTTTTAGATTTTAATTTCTGTTTGCTCCAATAGCTACGAACAGTTCTTTTTTTTTTGTTCTGATGACTTTCTGTTTATGAAACATATACCAATGTTTCCATTCTTTTTGCTTCAAATTATTTCTGCATTTTTTGTATTCAATTTTCTGTCCTAATATACTTTCTGGATTTCAACATTTGATTTCCTAGAAGTTTTCATGGTATATTTTATATCATTTGTTTTAAAGTCCAAGTCAAATATATAAAAGTTTACTAAACAATAAGTTAAATCCTAATACTAATAGTATCTACAATTTAAAAAATTTCCTAAATTTCTTATTAATGCTTGAAAAATGTATTCACTCAATAAAGAAAATAGTATAGTTAAAATAAATTGATTTTTGTTGTGCATGTGTTGAAAAGTGAAATTATATGATTAAGGTTGGAGTACCACTTAAGTTTATTGTTCAACATAAAGTCTTAGAGTTTGTTACACTGTGGGTGTTATGATTTTGACACTGAAAGTTTTGATGTTGCGGGTCTGAAGCCTATAGAACTACCCATCCTAATTCTGGATCAATACAAATTAATTAAATTATTTAGTTAGTAATAGTTGTTATTATTGTTAAGTGTCATCTTCATTTTTCTATTGTTAACTCAATTATTTAGAGAAAATTACAGCGTAATAGGAAAAACATTTTTGAAATCTTTTATAGAACTGAACTTTTTTAAATTATTTTTAGAAAGATTTTTTTTTTTTCGTTTTTAGCGGCTTAAAAAAGAATTAAAGAGCAGGTTTCCTGATAAAACTTTTACATATAAATCCAAAATGGCTGGAGTAGATTCAACCACTGGACTCCAAAAGGTACTATTCCAAAGGTTTTGTATAAATTTCTTAACTTTATTGTTAAGTCTGTTGTTTGTCATTTTTATGTTTTTTAAATAAGCATGTTTTGTTTAATATTTACTTCTAGCAGTACTAGAATTTGAATTTTAACATAATAAATTTGTATTAGTGCATTAAATACCAAGTGTACTGATTCCAGAAAACCAGTATTACTGGACTTATTTTGTTCTAAATTGTTTAGTCAGCTTAATACAGATGTTTTGGTATTAAGTATATATAAAAAATATTTGGCATTTTATTTCTAATTTTGTTTAAAAAGTCTAATAATAATTAGGCATTGCTTTTTTAACTGAAAGGCTTCTTCTTACTAAATTGACAAATGCAGGACTTTTAATTGTTCTGTATGGCTGTTTATGGTAGACTACAAATTACAAAATTCATGACCAGTTAAAATCTTTTCCTGGCTATATTTTTTCTTTGACATTTAACTAGTGTTTAAAAAGAAAAATTTCTTGATTGTGTCTTCAATTTCCACCAAAACCAACTTGACAAGTTATTGCTTGTAATTTTTTTCTATATAATTGATCTTGACAGACTTTAGTGTACTTGTTACATCAGCTCAACTGAGAACATCACTAAAATTTATAGATTTGTTTAAAATTAACCATGACAATTTGAAATATTGCATCTTTAGATAAGAATTATTCTGCAATTTTTCTTCTGTTATTGAAGTGATTAACATTTTCTGACCCACAACAGTATGTGAAAAAATGCATTTAAATACAGAGCTGAAGGTTACCTGGAAGTGCTTATAGTTGTATTTTCTTCTATTTGTGAAATTCATTTGTTGTTATCTGGGACTGAATACTAACCAGGCTAAAGAGATGCTGTTTACAGTGTCTTTAAACCAAGTTGGTCTCAATATAAGCACAGGATTAGGCATAAAGGTTATATTATATAATATACATTTTTTGGTTAAACAAGATGTAGTATAAATGGATAGTTATGTTGCATTTATTGTATTTTTTTATATTACAATAATGGTTATGGTATAAAGGAATTTAAAATGTAAATTGTAATAGATGCAACTAGTGCTTCAAGGAGGATGATAAAATATATTGATTTTAAGTTTTTTTTTTTAATGAATGATGATGATATTGACTATTAATCAACTTAACAATATTAATTATGACGTAGTTGTTACAATGAGACAAAGTTATTACAATAAGAAAAGTTGTAAGTTAAAAACAAATTTTTGTAACTCAGGCTAAACTTCATCAAGCATTTGTATTGTAAGTTTTTTTTCTTAAAATTTGTTGTCTTGACATGTTTAAAAGTCTTGGTTATTTAAAAAAGAAAAAAATTTAGTAATTAATAGTGTGGAAATGGTTGTAGCAAATTTGTATGCTAATTTTTTTTTTGTTAGATTTTGTAGAACTTTTACAGCTTATAGAGTTTATTTTTAGCTGCGTTTTAATGAGTTGGATGAATTTGCTTCAGTGATCACAAAATATTATAAAGAACGCATTGAAGAATATGCACCTTTAGTAGAAGAAATTGTTGATAATTCAGCATTTCAACAAAATGCTTTCATACAAAAAAAAGGTATCCATGAGGTTTAATAGAAGGATTTCTGTAGCATGTAACTAATTAGTTAATATATAATTAAGTATAAAATTAATATTAGTAAATCTTAAACCTCTGATAGCATATGTGATTGTACGAACCTCAGCATAATACTTTGTGTGTTCTTCACATTATAATGCTGTAGTAAACTACTGGTAGTAGGCTTGGGCCACAATCAAGAGGTTTCAGGTTTAAATTTACCCTATGTCCAGGGTAGCCACTAGTCATGGAAATCATGAAAATGTCATGGAATTTTATTTGGTCATGGAAAAAGTCATGGAATTACTAAATTTTCATTGAAAGTCATGGAAAATTCATGGAACTTTTTAAAATTGTCTTTATTTTTTTCTACTTGTGATATTTTTAGGATGCAAAAAAAAGTACTGGTATGTCTAGTCTAAGTCATTTTTGAAAAATATATTTTTGCAGTTTAAGTTATTAGATAATTAAAAGAAAAATAGTTTTTTTTAACATGATTTCAGAATTTTCTACCAATTAGCTTTTGGTTTGCATGTTTTATAATGACCAAGTTGCACATAATGACCATGCTTAGTGCATAGCGAGTGCATGGCGAGTACTGAATAATTTCCTCTAGTGATTTATCATAAAAGTTTATGAAGAGTCATGGAAAAGTCATGGAATTTCATTTTCAAATTTGAGTGGCCACCCTGTATGTCTTTCAAAAAATTGTGCTTACCTGTTTCTCCGTGCAGCCTTGTTAAACAACATGCCTCAGGGGCCTGAGAAAAAGCAAAAAAAAAAAAAAAACATAAAAACATAAAACAAAAACAACCTCCTAAAATGCAGTTGCTCCCTCTGAACCCTCAGGGAGGTTAATTTAAAAACTAAAAAATGTATGTAATACTGTTACAGTTTTAAATAAGTGCCAAGGTGTGATAAACATTAAACTTCTCCTGTAAAACTATCAGAAAAAAGAGTTTTCAGTCATTAATTCGTTTAAAAGGTAATAAAAATTAATTTAAAAAGCCTTTTTAAATTTTTATTATTTTACTAAAAGTTTTTTCAGTGCTATTGTCATTGGGTTTTCAAATCTTTTTAATTTTTTTTTTTATATATATTTTTTTATAATTTTATAATTTAAAACTAATTGTAAATAACATTTTAGTTGATATTATTTTTTTTAATTTTTACCTAAAAGAAGAAAGATTAGTCTTTTTTTATCACAAATAAATTTTTGATTAATAATAGTTATAAATATGAAATATTATATCATCATAATTTAATATTTATATATTATATATATTAGATTTATTTCAAATTAGTTTATTTTTTTTACTTATTAAAGCAATTTAAAATATGTAATGCTATTGCATAATGCAAAGAAAATTCAAAACTAGGCCTGCAATTGACTTGCATTTTAATTTAATGCTTAAGATTAAAGATGATTTAAAAATTTTTCACAATTGTATATTATATATATATATATATATATATATATATATATATATATACAAATAGTATTGCGTACTAAGGTAAGCAATCTGACGTCATACTGAAATAGCCTTCTGCCTAGGGCTTCAGTACATACATCGACTGACAAATAGCCTAACTTGCAGTGAAGTGCTGCTACATCGACTGAGGGTTTGGTATGGGGCAGCAATCGTTTCATTCATCATTTTTCGTTTTTTTTCTTCTTTTTTTAAAAAAGCTGTATGGCTTAAGGTAAGCAAAAAAAGTGAGCAAATGCTTATAAAAATACGCTTTAGTAAGTGCGTATATATATATATATATATATATATATATATATATATATATATATATATATATATATATATATATATATATATATATATAGCTGTAAAATAAGTTTTTATAGCTGTTTGAAGTTGAAGAAAATATTGACGCAAAATATTTGTCTTAAAATTGTACCAATTCTGTTTTTTAACAACAACTTTGAAACGCTATACATTAAAAACTACTCCATTAATTTAAAAATTTTTTTCTTTCCTGGTCTGTAAATAATATTTAATTTGTGAATTACTTAATGAAAAATAAAAACTGAAATTTAAACATTTTTTAAATGCAGTTTTGTTTATACCTAAAAAATTCTAAAATATATGAAAATTTGAAACAAAAAAATCAACGTTCACGATGCATAACATCCGAGGATCGTTTCACTATAAGATTAGGGTACAATTTATTGTCAAATGTAAATAAATAAATACAATTTATTTATTTACTACCGTTCAACGATCATAAACAAAAAAATCAACTTTCACGGACGATTCAGGAACATCTGTTGATAACATGCGACAAAATGTTATTGATAAAAAAAAGAGAATCAAAAGAAATTTTACTAACCTTGAACATCAAATTAAGTTCATTTGAAAAATCTAAGCTTATTTTAAAAACAATCAAAGTGAGATATAATCTAACTATAGAAGATGAAAAAGATAACATCAAGAAAATTTTAAAGCAAATTGACAGACACGTAAAAAAATATTCAAAGTTGAAACAAATTGGAAATTTGGAGAAACAAAGTGGGGATAAAACTGCCCGGGAATCTACCTGCAGCATCATCATCCAGGGGTGATGTAGAAAAAGAGGGAGCTCTGCAAGCTAAAAGAGGACGGAAATCAAAAAGACTAGGGTAAAAGTTTAGCTGTTGACATATACTTGAATTTCTTAAGCATCATGTTATTTGGGACACTCAGTAGCTATTTTTTTACTTTTCATAATACATTATTATTTAATTCAGCGATCAACCTGAAAAACGTACGTAAAAACTACAACAAAATTCTGGATGATTTTGTGGACATCGTGGAAAATCATGCAAGTGAACAGGGAGTAGATAAGTCAGAATACTTAAAAGAAGTTGTCCAAAGATGTGAAAAAAGATGGGGAAAGGAGGAAGGAGTAAAACTTTCAACAATATCAGTACAAGAAGCAACTGCTTTAATCTACAACTTGGATCTATCTATAAATAAATATCAGGTGAAATATGCAATCAAATACTGTTGTAATATATTGTTTTTATAATTGTACGTTTAAATTTCATATATTTCCCCAGGAGCTGAGACTTGAGCTTCTCCCAAAATTAATGTTGCCAACATAGAATGGTGTAGATACCTTTAAATGTACTTTGCTACCAAAGGAATTGAGTAGTGATGACAAACAAACTTCATCCCCTGTGAACAATGTTATCAAAGACACTGTTGAGTCTCTACTTGATATATCCGGGTTTTGTGCTGAAAATCATTCTATACATGTAGAGGGTAAATTTGGACTTGGTGGATCTGGAAATCACAACTATCATCATCAGTTTCCGATCCTCAAAATGCAGACTTAAAAGGAAAAAATTATTTGTTCTTTTTGGTGTCCCCTTGAAATAAAAGATTGAAGTTATCTGGACTAATCCAACCCCTAACTCCATTAATTTTTCCAGGCCTGTTATTCTAATGAAAGCAAAAGAAACTAGTGAGAGTGTAAAAGAATTTTAAACCAACTCTGAGCCAACTGCCTAAAAATGAAACTTTGCCTATTTTTTCAGAAAATGGTTTGCAAATATTTGTAAAAACAGAGATAAGTATGGTTGATGGCAAAATGGTAAATTAATTGGTGGATGATTCTGGAGCTTTTTGTCACTACTGCAAATGTTCCAGAGATGATGCAAATGACCTGGTATGTATACTACATGGGTTTACTATAGATAAAAATTATAATGATATGCTCAGTACTTGGAGAAGACTAGAAAATGGCGAAATCTCCTACAAAGATACTGAAAGACATGGACAATGCCATGAACCTATAGTTGAATCAGATGTAAAATTTTTTGCCATTCTACATCAAAAGCTACGTGCACTTGACCACTGTCTGAAGTTGTTATATCATATTGTGGGCCAACAAACCCATACATGGTCTGAACAGGACATAAAGGTAAAAACTGTTCTGAAGACAGCAAAAAGAAAAGTTATTCAAAATGTACGCGAGAAAACAGGAGTGCTTCTTGATTCTTCTACTTCTAATGGTGGTAACACGAACAATGGACCATTAGCAGATCGTTTTTTTAGTCCAAAAGAAAGAAAGTCTATTTGTTCCGTAATTCTTAAAACAGAAGACCAAGATAGCTTCTCGGCTTTGTTATCTAAGTTCAATATACTCTTTAGCATTAATCAGCATATTGATATTAGCAAAAAGGTTGATCCTGATAAAGTTAAAGAAGTTGGTTATGGATTGATGATATTCCATAAACAGACATTTCCATGGTTGCACATGCCATAGACATTTCCATGGACTTTGCTTAGCCCTAGCTAGCATCAAATGTGTGCACATGCCTGGGAACTATTTGTTATTACAGGTGGATCACCCATTGCCAAGTACTCTGAGCAATCAGGCGAAAGTTGGAATAAATACATTAAGGCTTATAAATCAGGAACAAGTTGTAAAGCAAGACAAATGTCTTTGCAAATTAATACATATGACATTTACTGCAGACTAATGATAAAAACACATCCAATTATTGCCAGTAAAAAAAGACAATGTGGAACATCTGGAAAATTTGGACATACCACAAGAGGGTGTAAAGTAGACGAGAACAACGTACTTAATGAAGAAAAAATGATAATTCAAGAATGTTTTATATGACCATAAAAAATAGATAGGACTAATATCTGTGTATATTTGTGTTTAATATCAAATTATGATGAACTCAAATATATTTCATTATGAATTGGATATAATATCCTTTTCTAAGCAACCTTGCAAGCTATTAACTTGCTAGTCACGGGGATCGAGGAGCTATTTGTTATATGGAACGGGGGCTGGTGGAAGACAAATTAAAAAAATATATATATTTTTTCATTTATACTTTATAGTTTATTTGAAAATTTTGAAAAAAGTAAGAGCATGACTTTTGGCGCCTCTCCCCCTTCCCTGCTGTTGCCCCATTCTCTGGGTTAGAGTGCACACATGTAAAATTTAGCTTCAGAATCAGATTCGTCCGCCCAAAAATGTAATATACTAAAATTTTCAAAAGATTTCATTAACAAGTAACATATTTATGAATTTTTTCCAAAAAACTACATTCTGGGCACACTGTGCACCAGTTAACTAAAACTTTTGTTATTTTGTAATCTATTTTCTATAGTCTTTTGAAAACAAAAATAATTGTTTTACTTCGTTTAAGTTGAACATTCATTTAGTTAAACTGTTTTCCTTGGTTCCTTGGAGGTTCAAGTTAATGGTAATTTACTGTATACACATTTAAAAAAAAAAGGGGGGGGGGCTTCTTAACTGCTTCTTTTTAATTTAATTGGTGAATATTAGGGGGGGTCCATAATCGTCTTTTTTTAGATTTTTTATAGTTTAACCAATTTTTCTTAATTAGTTTTTCATGCTGATTCTGAAAATCATTGTCATTTTTTTTTCATTTAGCCTTCTACTTTGATTTTAATAAAAGTGAATATATTGACAAAAAAAGGCGTTGTTAAAAATAGATGAAATAATTATTATCATTAAATATGAGAAAAGTAGAAAACTAGAAATCTTTTTCTGTTTAATTTATCAATAATATACCTTATCATTTATAAGTAACAAAAAAAATTAAGCATTATATATGAAAATAATTCATACAGTTTGTTATTTACTATTGAAAATAGAAAATAAAAGTCATCATATGTGATAGAGATTGCTGCGTGAACTTTCCTTATAGAACATCTAGATTATGAGCATGTTCTTTGGTAGACATAAGATGGAGGTTTTTATTTTTATATCAACAATCATGTATTTAAACAGAATAGATCTCCGCGATAATGACCTACATTGTATCCCTAAAATAAAGAACCTCATTTTTCGAACTTTTTTTTCATTTTAACATATCTTTATCTACTTCAATAATGTCTAGTTTACAGCTAAATAGGCTGCCTTATAACTTTAATCAAGCTAAAACAGAACTCATCTTGCACACCTGATGTAAAGTTTGCTCCTCTTCCATTGTTATCCATTTGTTTTTGTAGCTGGTTTCAACTATATTCCATAGTTTCAACTTTTTGGACTAATAACTAAACAATAATTTTTCAAAATATTTTTAAACTGCGCGAACCTTCATTTTTTATATGGTTTAAATAATTAAGTATACATCTGTTGAAATTAAATGGGTTTTTTTCAAAGCTTTCCAACTGCAACAACTTAATTAGAAAGTTAATACTAATCATATTCCATCATCAACCAAACACATAATACTTTTCTCTTTTTTGAAGTCCTGAGGCTAACTTTTGCCAAAATACTCTAGCAAGAATGATACAATCATTCAACCTCTTTGAGGTATACTTATTAAGTGTTTCTAGAATTTTTTTTAACTAGCTATTCACTACGTTTTAGGGTAAAGCAGAATATTTCAAAATTTGATCACCCAGTTTGTTTTTTATAAAGCCTTTTAGGTAGCGGTGTTCCTTTAAAATTGTTAAAACTTTAGAATTTAACTGAACTTCTACTGACTGTCACTTTAAAAGAAGATTTATTCTTGACTTCATTAAAGAAAAGTCAAATAAAAAATGAAATCTTGAATAGCCTTCTTGATAGCTTAAATAACGATTAAAAATAAATAAAAAAAAGGAAATTAAGATGTTTTGAAGCAATCTGTCTTTTTGATTACTTAAAACGTTTTGCTTAGAAAGAGACTTGAGATAAAACTTTTTTTTTAAGCAATCTGTCGTTTTACTTATTTAAAACGTTTTTTTAGAAAAAGACTTCAGATTAAACTTTGTTTTTCTAAAATGCAACGATTAAAAATTTATCCAATCAAAATTTGAATAGCATAAATTTGAAAGAAAAGTTGCATAACTTTATTCACAAAGAAACTTTTGCAAAGACTTTTATTTTTTATATCTTTAAATTTTAAAAATAGAAGTAGAAGGTCAACCATAAAAAATTAGCAAAAATTGAATTGTTTTTTGAACTTTTCTCAAAAAATTAATTAAGAATAACTGGTTAAACAAGAAATATAGAATTTTGGACCCCCCCCCCCTCCCCCCTATGAATATGTGAGTTAAAAATTAATATTTTATTTTTTAAAAATAAATTAAGATATTGAGTCAATTTTTATTTAATAGCTATATTTGTGACATTTAATGATATTTATTATTACAATGTTTTTGGTAAAGTGCACTGTTGCTTTTGTAAGAAATAAAGTCTCATCCGGCTTTATCACATAAAATCATTTCACACACCAAAAAAAATATTGAAATTTAGTTATTTGGTACAAAAAGTTATTGCTTATTTGTTTTAATGGCTCTGGGATTTTTTTCAAGATATAATATAGCTTATTTTTCCTACTAAAATTTTTCCTATGTTTATAATTTATTGGACTGCTATTAATATTATAAATGTTATTTTTTGTAGGCTCACTGTTGGTTGGTCGAGAAAAAGAAATTAGCAGTATTATGCAATTTGTAATTTCTGGTGAGAAAAAGTGTTTTCTTTTAGTTGCGGAGCAAGGTTGTGGAAAGTCTTCACTAATAGCAGCCAGTGTTCTTCAACTTTCTCAGGTCTTGTCTTGCTCAAAAACTTTTTTTTAATCAAGTTATTCAAATTAATTGTATTGAATGTAATTTAAAAATATAAATATCATTTCTTTCTAATGTAATTTTTTACTTTAGTATTTTTTGTATTTACATTGCCAAGACAATTTCTTATTATTTTGTTGTGAAACTAAGAGTAATGAAATTTGTCTGAGTAGTCTAACTCAGTAAGTTGTCATATCAAGGATATTGTGATAGTGGATCAACCAAAAATAACTGAAATTTAAAGTTCATCATAGAGATCATATTCAAGAGGGGTTGATCATATTCAAGAGGGGTTGATCATATTCAAGAAAATTTTCATGTTCTGAGCCATAAAAAAATTCTGATTTTTATTATTGAGGCTAGAGTAAATAGTTGCATAATGAGATTGAATATAAATAATATATGGTTAGTATATAGAACATATGGTTCCAACTAAAATTTAAAGAATGTCATAGAAATCATTTTCAAGATTTGTTATTTGTAATAATAATAATTAAAATAATTTGACTGTTGTTAAACATGGTAGAGGTGCTCTTAAACATGGTAGGCATGTTGTTAAACATGGTAAGAGTGTAGTTAAACATGGTATGGATGTACTGGTAGACCACTTGCTTTGTAAGTAAAAACATCCTAGATTGATCCCCACCATGTGCCTAGGAGTATTGGACTTGCTTCTCCATGTAACAGCCTTCTTTATTAAGGCTCCTATTTTGGAAATAAAGGCTTGAGAGAGGGTTGTAACACAGTAAAGTAAAAAAAAGTAGCAGTTTCCTTGACTGTAGTTGCTCTTTCAGCTTTGGAGATGTAAATACAGTAATTTTTATAAGACAGGAAAATAAGAAACAGGTATAATGTCCTTCCTCTACACTACAATTTTTTTCTATTACACCTAATCATACTAATATGGCTTAGAGTATATAGTCATACTAAATGGCTAGAGTACTATAGATAAATATACTAATTATCTATAGTACTCAAACCAATCAGTGTGATCCATACAATGCTTTTATTACAGGAATCTTTTTGAACCACAAGTTTTTAAAGAGCCTGAAGTTGGAAATGACATTGCTACAGAGGCCAAAATTATACAAGTTTGGGACAAAAGATTATCTTGTTTGTCAGACATGTAAAAACGTGTGTGATTGTTAGAATTAAAACATATACATAGAGAAAAAATTATAAATATTGTTAAAAAACAGTTTAAAGTATATAAAACATTAAAATTAAAATTACTAAAATGTAGCTACTAAATGTTTAAAATACTTCAAACAACTTTTAATAAATATTTACAAATAGTGTAGTAATTGCATTATTAATTAGCATTTATTAAAGTTTTGAATTTAATAGTTTTTCTTATCAAAACATATCTCCTCAGTATTATCTTGTTCTATCTACAAATGTAATAAATAAAATGTTCTATCTAATATATAAAATAAATACAAAAAAAATATATAAGAAAATAAACACAATGTTCTACTTGATATAATATTTTATATTATATTACATAGAAAATTGTATTTATTTATATATAACTTTTTTTGTATTTATTTTATATATAAGATAAAACAATTTATTTATTACATTTGTATATATATATGTATATATATATATAATATATATATATATATATATATATATATATATATATATATATATATATATATATATATATATATATATATATATACATATATATATATATATATATATATATATATATATATATATATATATATATATATATATATATATATATATATGTACATATATATATACATATATATATATATATATATATATATATATATATATATATATATATATATATATATATGTACATATATATATATATATATATATATATATATATATATATATATATATATATATATATATATATATATATATGTACATATATATATATATACATATATATATATATATATATATATATATATATATATATATATATATATATATATATATATATACATATATATATATATATATATATATATATATATATATATGTACATATATATATATATATATATATACATATATATATATATATATATATATATATATATATATATATATATATATATATATATATATATATATATATATATATATATATATATATATATATATATATATGTATATATATATATATGTATATTTATTACATTTGTATATATATATATATATATATATATGTGTATATATATATATATGTGTGTGTGTATATATATATATATATATATATATATATATATATATATATATATATATATATATATATATATATATATATATTACTGTATATTAAAGTTAAACACTAAAGATAATTTCAGAAAGAAAACTAATAATACTAGCAACAATATAAGAAATGTAAAAGTTTATCTAATATTTCTTTAGAAACAAATACCTTGTTTATATAACTTCTCGTCATCTACTCCTGGTTCTACAGAATCTTTACAAGTTATGTTAAATTTCATACAACAACTCTCAGCTCAACTAAACAAACAATCACCTAAAGGTATGACAGGATATGAAAATATTTTAAATGTTTTTCATAACTTACTCAAAGAAATCTGTGTTGAAAAAAAAGGTTTTACTATTGTTCTTGATGCTGTAAACCAATTTGAGGATGAAGCAGGTAAATCTTGCTCATGGTTGCCTTTACCTAGTGATGATATAGACATTCGCTACATTATCAGTTGCACACCTGATTTCGGAAGTGGTTATTCTTCTATTAATGAAAAGTTTCAAGACCAAAGTGAAACTATGTATCTCCAAGGTTTTACCACAGAACATCGTATTAAGCTTGTGCAACAGTTATTTGGTCGCTTTAACAAAAAGTTAGATTCTGAACAACTTGACTTGTTAGTTTCAAGCGAAGGATCATCATCTCCACTTTGGCTAGCTCTTGCTTGTGAGGAACTAAGAGTGTTTGGAGTGTTTGAAAGAGTTACTGAACGAATTAAAGAACTTCCAAGTAAAGAAAAAGTTTTATTTTATTTAATCCTATTTATTTAATAATAATTTATCATTAAATGTTTTTTGTATATATTATAAAAATATTGTATGGTAATGTACAATATAATATTTTATAAAAATTTTATACAATATCTTATATAAATATGATAATGTATAATATAATATTAGATACATATGTACAATATTAGGTACATATGTACAATTTAACATTATTTTAAAGAAAATTGAGTTATGTGTTTTGAAAACTAATTAATTAATTCAACAAGTTGCATTAGTTCATGATTATTATTATTATCATTTGTATTATAGCGCTTTGTACCCATCAACTTACAAAATTTTATAAATTATTGGAAAAGACCTTTTCTTCCATTTATCATATCTTTAAAACTCAGGTTGTTGTCAGAATTATATTTTCATTAAAACACTTTGTTACCAATTTGTAGGTTTTGTTGAAGGCATGGAGTAAAAATATTTTATATCTTTACTTCAATTGGCATGATTTAGGATTAGATGTTTTAGCAATTTAAGGCTAAATTAAGTTTTACATATAAATGACAGCCTATTTTATAGTAGATTTTGCAATCCTAAAGTTAAAATTTGAGTATCTATTTAATTTATTTGAAAGTTGTTAAAGAGTTATTTAAAAGAATGCTTATGAGTTTTTATAGTCATATTTTTTGTTTTGGTTTACTAAAAATTTTATTAATTAATTTTTTTTTTTTTTAGGTACAATAGACAACTTGTTATCATTCATATTAAAAAGAATTATTACTGAAGATGATACAAACAAAATAGAAAAGGTAAATCTTTTTAATGCCTCGTTATGTTTGAGTTTGTTTTTGTTTAGTTTTATTTCGATTTTGATGTAAAATTAAAAAAATTATTTTTTTTCAGACACTTTGTTTCCTTGCTTGTTCAGCTAACAATCTTGCAGAAATGGAACTATTGCATTTACTTGGAGATGGAGTTGAAGAGACTTTGCCTATGTTTTTATGGGTTAAAATCAGAAGACAAATTAAACCTTTTTTACTCAACACCGGAAGTGAAAATTGTGAATTTTATTCATTCTTTCATTCTTCTGCTAAACAGGTTTTTTAATTGTAAACATTTTTTATTTTTAAATAGGGAGAATTTAATTATGCTTGGAATTAATTTATTATAATTAGAATATTGACACCAGAACTACTAGTACAAGGTGCAAGAATAGTGTTTATTGGGGTTACTTATCACAGGGGTTAGTGCTTACATACTAAAAACAAGGAGCAGTCATATAATCCTATTTTTAAATATTTTTATGAATCATATTATTTTAAATTAACTGTAAATATTTAAGAGGTGCTATTATAAAATGCATAAAAAATGTTTGTGAAACAAAAAATAATACAATTTTAGACTTTAAATTTGAAATTTATTTTTATTATTAGTATATTTCAAGCTTTATTTTATGTAATTATGTATTAGATAATTTATTTATTTTTAGTAATTTTATTTTGCAATTCTGCAGTTTATTTTGCAACTCAGAAGTTTAATCAAACTTGTAATGTTTGGAAAGTTTGAACAAACATCTTTCCATACAAATTTTTTGACTTTTGAATTTCAAAAATAAATCAGGGCTTAGTTAAATAACTTATTAAAAATAATGTAACAATAAAGTTTTAATATATCTTGTTGTTTTTTTTTTTGTAAGATTAAAGTTACCTAAATCATATACATTCTAAAAAAAAAGAATTTTCTATTTTCAAGTAGGATATGTGGTATACTCTAAGTAAGGTATAATTTTCTATCTTTTAAGGGTAGAAAATCATATCTTTAATGTAGAATATTGTATGACAAATAATTATTTGTAAAATAATTTGTTGCCTTACAATGTTGAAAATTATACCTTACTATGGGTATATCATATATCCTACCCTTCTTTTTTTTCTTTTAAAGTAAACTTAGTTTTCTATTTTATATAAAAATAAAAATAAATGTACGATAAGTACAAAGTATTGCTTAATATAAATTAAACTTATGTTTGCTCTGCGACACTTATGTTTTAAGTTAAACGGTTATTTGATAAATTCAAGTATTTTATCTTATTTAATCAGTTGCAAAACCGGTGCCATTGAGAAATTAGAGTCATTTATAACATATAGCTTTAAAAATAATTTTTGGTTTCAGAAACACTCTTAAATTTTTATTCATTAAGAGATAATCACTTTCACTAACATTGGCTTCATTGTAATTGTCATTCTCAACCATTCTCCTTACAAAATTATCTTTACCATGAAAGTTTTTTAATAAGGCTATCAAATGCAAAATTTTATTACCTGCTTTCCTTCTAACCTCTTCATTCTTGTCAGCTAACATTTTAATAAGATTATTTTGATCATGAGCAAAACGATATTTATCTGCAACTTTATAACAAATGTTCTTGAATTAGTATTTGAATTAGGAAAGTTATATTTGAATCACATTAAAATAGGTTTTTGGGACTGTCAGTTAAATATTAAATAATTTTAATATCAAACCAACTAGAAAAAAACATCTTAATGATAAATTCTGCAATCAGATTTAGATTTTTAGTAGGGTTAAAATAGATAAATATTAAAATAAATACTGCCAGATTTTGCATGCTGTTAGCCAACAAGAATAATTCATAGGTTCAACTTCTAAAAAGGCCATATCATTATCTGGATTCCCTGTGATTGCTACAGATGCCATAAGCACAGAATTTGTCAGTACGTAAGTCATTAATGACTTTATTGTCTGATAAGACAAATTTTGGATTCAGAATTGGTCTAAGTTTAGCAACACCTTATTTGAAAACATTGCCATTCATCTGTGAGCCAATAGCTGCAGAAAGTTTATCTGGCCTTTAGGTAGTTCCAATAATTTTCATAAATAAAGGTAACTCATTTATATACAAAATGCAAATATCCTACTGTGAGTATCCCAAATTATCACTCTTAGAAACACTTCTAAATATCCAACGAAACCAGGTGAAACTAGCTAAATCTGTTCCCTTGGCAACTTTTGGCTTGATGAGATCAATTTGATGGTAAAAGTCATCTAAAAATAGAAATCTCTAATAACATAGGTACAAAATATTTTATAAATATAAATATGTTTAGTTTTCATAATTTATAGGTGCTTGGTACTTAGTATTACTATTCTGACTGAAAATTTTGTCTTTAATGACAACTTCAATTTCTACCAATGTAGCGGAAGCAATAGCTGCACTAGCAATTATTTGATAGCTGAAAAATTAATTTTTCGGTAAGTATAAAAAAAATAGCTTTTGATAGAAATTTGGTATGAGTATATCTCAATGTCTAATGATGCATTGACTTTTAAAATTTTTTGTTTTGTTTTTTTTGTTTTTTGTAATTTTCAATGACATACTAGATAAATTACCTGTCACACATTTCAGCAAGTTTTGTTTGATTTTTTCTTAGTAATTTCTTCATTATGATCAAGATCAGAATAATAATTGAAAATGATTTCTTCTGATTTCTCTATTTCTTCAGATACTTGAGGACTTTCAGCTTCTGATTTCTCTATTTCTTCAGATACTTGAGGACTTTCAGCTTCTGATTTCTCTATTTCTTCAGATACTTGAGGACTTTCAGCTTCTGATTTCTCTATTTCTTCAGATACTTGAGGACTTTCAGCTTCTAATTTCTCTATTTCTTCAGATACTTGAGGACTTTCAGCTTCTGATTTCTCTATTTCTTCAGATACTTGAGGACTTTCAGCTTCTGATTTCTCTATTTCTTCAGATACTTGAGGACTTTCAGCTTCTGATTTCTCTATTTCTTCAGATACTTGAGGACTTTCAGCTTCTGATTTCTCTATTTCTTCAGATACTTGAGGACTTTCTTTGTCAAGTTTTTGATAAAAGCAACTTGTGTTTATCTCAAAAGAATCCATTTTCCTAGGTCTTAGAAAGTCTTAGTTCAGATTTGAATTAAGACTTTCTTGAATAACTCTTTGTTTGAACTTTGCTTAAGAGGGTATTTCGGGAATTAGCTTAAAAGTACAGTAGCCATGCCTGTTGGTTTTTTGATCCTGAAAGCTAATTGTTTTGTTAGCTGCACTAAATATATATTTATTTATTTGCATGTATACACATTTATATACTTACACACTTGTCATTTGTCTTAAAAATTTCATAGGTATCATTTGGTCTAAATTATTATTATATCATTTTTACATTCAATACATAATGTGTTTAGCATGATAGCAAGGTTCATATCCATTTTAGTGACATTTTTACATGACAATATTTTTATCTCAGCTATAGTCCTAATAGTTTGAAATATTGACCATTACCTATACTCATATTTTGGGCTAACTGTTTGGTCATATTTGATGTTTTTCTTGAAATTGACAAGCTGAACTTAACATCAACATTGCTGTTGTGTTAAACAATTTGTTAGCACCATCAAATGGCAAAATGACACTAAACATTGATCCTACCTTTTTCTCTTTAAGATTCCCTTTCTCTCATCTTTTTTTGAGATCCTCCTGTTTTTCAAGTTTTATTTTAAAATTAAGCTTTTAACTTTAAACAGTTTAAAAATTCAACTCTTTAGTTAAAAAGATAAATGTAAAGCAAGTTGTAAAAAAAGTTGTTAAGTAACTTGCAAATATTCTGAATGTTACTGAAAATTGATTTTGCTTTACCAAACATCATCGATGTTCCAAAGGAGATTTGAACCAAAGCTGACAATATAAACCTCTTTGTTGAATGTATAAAAAAAAAATGAAAATTTCAAACAGAAGATAGAAAAAAAAATTTAAAATTGGACATTAATCACAAATTTTGGTCTACTAGATAAACAATAAGAGTTTTTAATTTCAAAATCAAAATTTCAAATATTTAGTTTTTATTTGACAAAAGAGGCATTTTAGCTTTTTTTTTTTTTTTTTATTTGAAAGATGTTTTAAAAACTTTTTTACTGCTTTAAATCATTTAAAATATTATGATTATTTAAAAAGAAAAGAAAAAAATATTGGATGAAATAAATGTCAAAATGTTTGTTTTTGAGATTTGCAACCTTAAGGTCCTTAAGGTTGCATAAAATCTCACATAAAATCTCACTTATAATATTTTAAAGCAGTAAAAAAGTTTCTAAAACATCCTTCAAGTTTAAAAATATCCTTGGAAATTTGCTATAGATATGCATATAAAGCTCCTTAATAAGGAGCTCTATATGCATATATAGATAAAACACTTAGACCATAAAATCTGATTCTCCAAACTTTGTAGTCTTCAGTTTAAACGGTGCATCCTTGGTGTTCCTAAAGGTACACATTCTGCTTGTGTGTGGAATACAATAAAATTTAAAATTGCTGTTGAGCATTTTAGGCTTTGAAACATTCTACCATGAAATCATTAATATGATGGTCTGTAGCAGAGAGTTAAATGTTTACATAATTCACTGATATGACTGTTTGGTCATATTTGAACTGTTTGGTCATATGCAGCCTTGGACTGTGGTAGCGCACTTGCCTCAGAAACGTAAGATACATGGTTCAAACCCCACCTCTGGGCAAGTTTTGTGACATCGGTTAGGAAGGAGGTGTGAACTTCCTATTAAATGCTCTTCGGCAATGCTCTTTGATCCGTAAGGACTTCTTGGGGCACCTAAATCAACATTAAAAAAAAAAATATGACAGTTGTTTTGACGTATAAGAGGCACAAATTTTTTTGCAACAGTATCTGATGATCTAGAAGAGCCATATGAAAGTGATGCCAAATGAACAGTTAACAGTTGATTAATTTCAAACAGTAAACAACAACTGGTAAAACTAATTTATCAACAATGAAGTTTCTGTTAAATAGATTCAGAAAGCTACAACTCCACAATTACAAAAAAAAAATTTTTTAATGTTATAATCTATGGCAGTAAAGTTTGATAACATCAGAAAATAAGGAATAAGACAATAATGATGATATATTATTGTTTTTGTTGTTATTATTATTATTTTATTGTAGTCTAGCCTCAGCTTTGGGAAGAGGAAAACAGTATTATATGTGTGTGTTAACATTACAACTTTTTTTTAGAAAAATGGCTCATTTTAATGAATGCTTTAAAAGC